GAAGACAACTACGGTATGGAAGATGCACGATTGGAGCAGCTTTTTTTGCACGCGTGAATTTGTAAGTTTCTGATTCCTTACTTGCCCGCGCTCACACCCATTGTATTGATAAATGCGGTGAATCACTAATTCTGTCTCATTATTGAAAACGTTTTGTGACTTACACGATTCCGGGCGATGCCACACAAATGGTGTTTTACGAATTATCGGTGAACGAGGGTTTAATAGTGTCGCTTGTGCTTGCATTTTGTGGGTTCATATTGTTGTATAGACATCTGCATAAGGGTATAACATCTTTTACGGAACGCTTCTGTCCTCATCACGGATATGATACTCATTTTGACGCTGGCGCCATTTGGGGCCGGGTGGCGCCACAACTGATTCCCACTAAATTCGCTGTAAACTTCTGTATAGGGGTTATTCGGGGTCCTGATTTGTTGTTAGCGCTATTCGGCGCCTGCTTCCTGCTCGTCTGCGCCCTCGCACTAATTAGATCGCAGTAGGACTAAGCCTTTGAGTAGTGTAGGGCTCCAAAGTGGGTAGGCCATTCCCCTGTGGTCTGACACACTCCAACTTTTGCCACACGGTGCGTGGTTTACCCACTCCGGAGTTTCACTCCCCTCCCCTAAGCTTAGTCGTAGGCGCTGTAGGTGAGAAAGCTTAGAAAAGCAGAAAGTATGCGTTAAACAGCACGAATGTGAAAAATGAGTGTCATATTCATGATCAGGGCCCCAAATAACCCCTATGCAGAAGTTTACAGTCGTCTCATCAAACGTCCATCAACCATTCCTCTTCCAGGTTCTCCAGAAGCTCTACCATCCATCTCTGCAAAAATAACCTACCTCCCTCTTCACTGCTAGTTAGCGGTCCACTTCTGGTTACCATTTCCTCGTTCATTATCAAATCCATGGCTATTAAGCTTCAAACTCCTTGTCGCAATCAAAGCCGACACAAATATCGCGCTCCAATCGCGCGTTCTTATATACCGTAGTTGTTTTCGCTGCGGGTGCGCCAGCCTGCCGCGCGATGTCGCGTTGCGAAGAGCGAAAAAGTCGCGTTCTGTCCTAAGTACCCACACCCGAGTCACTGGCCAAGCGGGCGGCAGCCTCCCAACAAAGTTAATTTTCAATCATCGTACACTCTCTCAAAACTGAAATGTGTACCTGAAAATGGCAAGTATATTGCAAGTTGTATTTCTAAAATATTCATTTGAAAGGAAATGGGGCCGCGGAGCAAAGGGGTTGACATGAACGCATCCCTGCCGCGATCGCGGCAAACGACAGTTTGCTTCTTACAAATCTTTAAAGGCAAGATTCAGGATTGAATTATGAGTTAATTCCACTTAAATGTGAAAGTAGGGGTAGGTAGTGGACCGCCAGTGCAGAAAAGAGAAAAAATCGTGAAATGCTTAGGAAATACGAGCCATTTCCTCTACGGTGCGGAGAAGGCCGGCAGGGAGATGAGAGATAATGTGAGCGCGGAGAGCGCTAGAGAAGTCTAAGTAGAGAGAGCATAGCAGATCAACATTCCGACGCAGACAAGATATCGAGCGGTGGGCGGAGCGTGTCGCAACAGGTGGAGCGTGTCAAAGTTCTTAGCGCCTAGCGTCTAAATAACGCTTTTCGAAGTAGGGAAGTGACGCGACCTCTACACTTGCGTACCTAGCGCTTCTAGCCACCGTAAAGGCTCATTAAGTGGGTCTGAGCCCGAACTTTGCCTTTAAGAAGCTCCTAGATAACATCTATTATGTTTGCTACGCTAGGTGAATCTTCAGCTGCAAAAACGAAAGTTTTGCAATCTTTCCAAGTAAGAGATATACAAGCGCCCATAATTTTTTCATATGGGCGACAGGCTCAAGACTTTTTTCACCTATACACAGTTAAAGGAATCCTTCCCGGAAAATTCTTGCATTCTTTCCCAACATGAATATGTCAGTTGTGATCACTAGAGACAACACACAAAGTTTCACGCATGAAGATTCGGTTTCCGAAGAGAAACAAACTTAAAAAACACTCTATGGACAATCGAAGGTAAAGGCGCGGAGCCAAAGGCGGGGCATGGAAAGAAGTCCGCCTTGGGGCGGCTACGTATCAGGCGACGCAATGAAAGAATCGGGTTAAAGCGTGCGATTTTGGAGAATAGAGACAAATCGATCGATAGAATATGATGCAGTAGAAGTGTGAGATGTCAGTGCAATAAGTCAAAAGGTCAAAAGAGTTTCTAGTGACAGCACTCCGTAAGGAAACGTCCCGCCGCCAGCATTTGTGAAAGATGTCCGGCGGCAATTTGAACGCGTAGCAGTCCTTCGGTTTTTCGAATTTTTTACCAAAACAAAAGCAATTTTCTGTTCTTTTCATTCTTATCGTGGATAATGAGTCTCAAGCCAGTGATTTATGGCTGAAATAGAATCATGATTTTCCTTGAAGGATTCCTCCAATTTCCAGGATGTACTAAATCTGCGCTCGTTCTAACAAAAAGTCTCCTATTAGACTGCGCAGACACATTCTGCCCACAAAGGAGACGATAAAATGAGGGTCATTTATTACAAATAACAAAAATCTTCAAACTCTGTTAAAAAATGGAAAAAAGAATTTAAGTTACAAACATTTGTTCAATGTGAAACCACCAGTAATGACAACAAAGGAAAATTCAACAAATGTAACAAAAAATTGTGTAATACCTCACCTACAGAGATCACAACAAGCACAGTGACAATCGCCACCAGAAAAGTCCATAAGATAAAAAAAAACCTCCACCAGGACACTGAACGACTTGCAGGTAAGGAAGGGCAAATGGAGCACTAGGAGATTCCACCTACGAGCAAGCAGCTGTCACGACTTGGTGAATTTTCCGTGAATAAAAGCAGGTCTCAGCCCTCTCATGTTATTCCTACGTTTTCATATAACTTCGAAAAAACAGTAGTTGTAATTTCATGTAAAAGAAAACCGGAGGCTAAAAGCCAAAAATTAAAATATTATGATGCAAGAATAAAACTTTCTCCAGCTCATCCGGCTCCCAACTCGTGCGTAGTTCGCTACTGATAGCCTCAAGGCGTGAGAACACTGATTGGCATTCGATCGAAATGCCAGGCGCAGACAAGTACTTCAGCGCTAATTTCTTCGTCAAAGGGTATTTGGCCGAGTTGACATCGCTTTGCCAAAACTCGTATGGATCGGTGGCGAACGAAGGATCATGGGATAGATAGTCCTCGAGTTCCTGAAATGACTTCATTAAAGCTTTCATCCTCTCCCTAACCAACTGAAATACCCAAATTCACATTGCAAATCTGAGAAAACAAAACAGTGGGTCCTAGATCAGTCAAAGATACAGTGCGTACCAAAAGTAATTAATCAACTAATAAAACCAATCGATAAACAGAATAATTAACGAAGTTCCGACGTTCGCCCCACACACCAAGATAAGAATCAATTAATCAATAACTAATAAAACAATTAATAAAATAATTAATAATTCCAAGACAAAAAGGAACTATAAGGGATAATAAATTCAAGTTCAATTAATTTGGCACCACACACCAACATGAGAAATCAAGGGTCAAGATTCGTTTAGTTTTCTGAACGGGTGGAAAATCAGGAAAATGTACAAAAGTGAGCAGCAAGTTCCTGGACGAGATGAAGGAATCCCACCATTGGCTAGCAGGTGATCCTTTTATGGACAGTACTCACTAGGAGCATTCAATTCTTCAGCTTAGAACAGAGAAACTGTCAAAACCCTAACCATGAGGTGTGTAATGGGGGTCTTAACAAGTGGAGCCAGACCCAGAACAGCCAGAGAAATAGGTGAAGGACGCCTTCAATTTGATGCCTTACTATTATACTACTCTTTTGAAACGCCAAAAAGGCTGGAACTTTGGTCGATTTATTATCACTACTACGCTGGTTAGACAATACTGTCAACTCTTCAGTCATTAAAATCAGCGATCATCATGAACTCTGGGCAGACAAAAACTAATTGTAGTTCGTGTGAGTAAGAGGCGAAACAAACCACCCTCTTATTCGTAACTATTCCATTTAATGAACATTCAGTTTCTGAGTAAAAACGGAAGCTAAAGTCACCGGCAAAAAAATAGAGAAATGTGTCAAGAACACGCAAAATTGGTTTCCTCTATTCCCGTCGAGTTCGGCTCTGGACGAGTAATCAATCAAGAAATCGACCATATGGACGTTCTATCCTCGATAGCCGATATCATGCCAACCGACATCATCCTTTGATTTATAACGTATTGGTAAGACAAACTAAAAGATACGTCCACTTGAAATGAGAGGCATTTTCAAATTGAAAAGCGCAATGCTACTACTGCCAACGCAGTGGTGGGTGGAGCGGTTTTGGTGCGTTACGGTTTTCAGGTACTACAAATGAGCTACCTTTGCAGCGAAAACACCACATTTCTGGCTAACAAGGTTGTCCTTCGCATTGGCACTTTCCTAAAAATTCAACGACCCTCCTTTCAAGGGGAATGGGGGAGGAAGTGGTCGTAAAATTCGATGAACAGTGAAATGAGCCAGGTACTGAAGATGATTGATTTGGATAAGGAGAGAGTGTTTCTGTGATCACCAAGGCACATGAACATACGCGAGAGAATTCGCAGGAATACGGAGGCTCAGTTTGGCGATACTTCGACTAGCTACACCTTCGAAGGAAAACTTGCAATCTTATACTAATGCTCACTTAAGAACCGCTCTGGACCTTTCTGCTAAACGTATTCGGGTCCCACTCCAAGCAAGGTAATGCAGACTGGTGTAAGGTCGTAGATTTCACCACCTAAGACGAGCG